TTTATATGTGTATATATATATTTTAATTTCTGTGCAGATGTTCTAACATCTGTTGGTTTTACCTTCTAGGAGAATCTGAACCTGGCGCTTAACTCTGCGTCTGCCATTGGTTGCCATGTTGTGAACATTGGCGCTTTAGACCTGAAAGAAGGGAAGCCCCATCTGGTTCTGGGCCTGCTGTGGCAGATCATCAAGATCGGCCTGTTTGCTGATATCGAGCTTAGCAGAAATGAAGGTGAGGTTGCTGTAGAGTAGCATGTATTTAAGTCCAAACAGAACGGCTGACTAGTCTGTTGTTAAGAAGAACTGATCGTTACCACTCCTCAACAGCGTTGGCGGCCTTGCTGAGAGACGGGGAAACCTTGGAGGACCTGATGAAGCTGTCGCCAGAAGAGCTGCTGCTGCGCTGGGCCAACTTTCACCTGGAAAATGCTGGCTGGCAGAGGATCAATAACTTCAGCTCAGATATTAAGGTGAGTCTCTTCCCTGAAGGAGAACCCAAATCAAGGTTGTTTTTTTTTAAACGCCACAACAAAACCAATCAACCAGTTCTAAAGGATGGAACCCATATGATACAGATGACCAGTAACTGGCCATGTCCTGTTGGTTGTAAACTTCTACGCAATCATGTTTGTCCATCGCATTGTGAAGATGACCAGTGATGCTCAGGGTTTTGTGGTTGGTCTGAGTGTGTGTATGGAGATGACTTTACGAGACCTATCTGGGCATGACATGTCGAACACGTGTGGTCGGTGGCTTCTGTTAAGGTAGTCGCCGCCCTCGCTTTGTGGTCGTCACATCTAGACTCCACAAGTCGTGTTGTCTCGGCATCTTCTGTATTCTTGTACGTGACTGATCCTGCACTAGGCTTTTTTACGTGTCTGTGTTGATGGAAAATTTCTTCGATGCCTTGACTGTTCTTGTAGCATCTACGCTGACCTCCGGTGGATCTTTTTCCTGATGCCAGTCCCCCATACAACAGCTGTTTAGGGAGTCTTGTATCTGGCATGTGGCGAATGTGACCTGTCCAGCGATTCTGGAATCGTTGCAAGATTGTATAGATTGATGGGAGGTCTGCGGTGTCTGGGACTTTTATCTTGCCGTCTGATATTCCTCAGATGATGAAGGCATGTCATGTGGAAGTGGTTCAGTTGTTTCACGAGTCTTTCAAAGACCGTCCACGTCTCACAACCCTACAGCAGAATGGTGATGACTGTCTTGTAGACTTGGATCTTGGTTTCGAGATGAATTCCTCTACGCTCCCAGACTTTGGAGCGGACTCTATCAAAGGCAGCACTGGCTTTTGCTACTCAACTGGGCAGGTCATATCTGAAACAAGAAGGTATAAAAGCAGTAGTTGCATCTAGTTGGTCAGAATGTTTAACACCCTCTTTATAGGCCAGCATGCAGATATCAACAAGCTTCTGGCAGAATTTTTGTTGAGATATTTGGCAACTCTTTTTGACAGAACCAGTTGAGTTCATTTAGATTGACTGATTTCCTGTCTTTTAAACACATCCACTAGTTTTCTACAGGGTTAAGGTCAGGGCTATTGGAACACACAGTTGTCCAAGTTTCACCTGTCTAGCTGCTGATCTGAGGTGAAGTTGGAGAATTAGGAGGTAGTCCTCCTCCTCTGTTATTCCATCCACTTTGTGCACTGTTAGGCCTGTCACGACAACAAATTTTGCTGGACGATTGTCTCAGAAATTATTGTGATAAACGATAATATTGTTTGAAATTTAACAATAATTAGTAATTGTCAGATGTAAGAAGAAATGTTGATTGATTTTTGTGTGTAGTGCCTTTTTTGACCACTGGATGGCAGTATAAGACTGTTTGAACCGAAGGATGGATAGTGAGGGAGAGAGCAGCGTGTCTCTCAAAGAAAAATGGAATGGAGGCCCCTTGACGTGACATGGGCTGTCTCTCCTTCCTTTTTGCGGTTCTCAAAATAGCGGACGCTCGGTGTGGTTTGAGCTCTTTAGCATAGCATTTTTCACACAAAGCTTTACAAAAAAAATCAGCAAACAAGTTCTCAGCTTCTTTTTGCAGAAAAACGACTTTTTACACGAAGGCACGGGTTTCAACCGTGAATTTTGGAGCTTCGACAAGACGGAGGTTTTTTCCTTAGGTCGGCCTGTTAGCTTAACTCGTAGCTTAGCTTCTCAGCTTAGCTGCTTTTAACAATCCAAAAACACGATTTTGGACGTTAAAATGGATTTTCAAGAAAAGAGAAAGGGAGGGGTCAGTGAAGAGCACCGGAGTTGAGCCTTTTGTCATCCAGTGTCTTCAGTAGAAAGAGAGAGACACGAAGAAACGATAAAGCTGATGAATATATGAGGTCGATAATTTTCATTTATCATGCGATTGATTTATTGTTTATCGTGACAGGCCTATGCACTGTACCATTATCACAACATGATGCTCCCACCACTGTGCTTAACAGTTACAGCGTTCATAGGTTTGAAAGGCTCATTTTGACACGTAAATTAGATAAATACACAATAAATTCATACTTTTATACCCGATTCTTTTTACACATCACATAATATTATTATATTGTATAATCATCCCACATGGGAGGAAACTGTTCAAATGGGTCCTTAAGTCTCAAATAAATTAGACATTTATGCCCATGAGTGTATGTAAACTTTTTATTTGTCTGACATTATGACTGCATAAAAACAACGCTCTTTTTTTTTTTATCTGATTTTCTTTCAAAAATAAAAATAAATTTAAGCAATTTTGTCAAATTTACAGCTAAACTTGTTTGCTTGTTTTATTTTAATCTTTTTATATTTTTTTAGGACTCCAGGGCCTATTTCCACCTCCTGAATCAAATCGCTCCAAAAGGCATAGAAGACGGCGAGCCACACATCGACATCGACATGTCGGGCTTCAGCGTAAGCTCCTTCAGCGCTCACAGCTGAGCACCATGACCGCACAGTAACAGCCTGACCCAAGCGTGTGTGTCCTGTGCGCGTGTGTGTGTGTTCAGGAGAGAGATGACATAAAGAGAGCTGAAGCGATGCTGCAACAGGCCGACCGACTCGGCTGTCGGCAGTTTGTCACCCCGGCCGATGTCGTCAGTGGAAACCCCAAACTTAACCTCGCCTTCGTCGCCAATCTGTTCAACAAATATCCTGCACTGAAGAAACCGGAAAATCAAGACATCGACTGGAATTTGTTGGAGGGTGAGTATGAAATAAACTGATCTGCATTGAATATAGAAGACGATTTATAATAATTTAATCTCACCTATGAACATGGATTTCCTCATAGAACCAGATCCTAACTGCAGTTTCTCTTCTGTACTTTCTTATTTTAGATTATATAATTATAATTTGACAACTGGCTGTATTATTAGCACGTAGTGTAGATTGTTATTCTTAACTGTACCTCGTTGCCTTTAGATCATACCAGTATTATCTGTGCACCGCGTACATTTTGTTTTCTACATTTCTTTCTAAACTGTGTCAACTGTGGCCTCTTCAAGCGCTGAAGGACCTTCTAGACACATTAGATACAGAGTTCCCAGTGACTCTGGAAATCAGGGAAAACCTGGAAAATGTCTCACATTTTCCAGACAGGGAAATTTTGAACACTGATCTGATTAAAAGATGATCTGATATTTTGACGTACATGTATTAATGTTGGTATCATTGAGTCCATGTTCTGCTTCTACAGTGTACACAGTACATGTATCCTCACTGATTTGCTGTGGTGGTTTTTAGTTTATGGTGTTCTATAACATAATTAATTAGTAGAAATAATTGTCATATAGTCGTACTGTACACCTTACTTTCATCTCTGAACAAGTCACTGAGCAATGCTAATCTGAGCGTTTTCGTGTGACTGAAATAATTCCTGGGATTTCAGGATTTACTCAGGGACATCCTCAAGGAAATTTATTTTATGACATGCTGGAAACCCTGTAGCTAGTGTGTCGTTGAAAAGGTATAAAGAGGAAAAAAATACCGTTATTGGGAGTGATGCATAGTACGAGAGAAAGCAAAGCTGTTTAGAGACTCGGACTCGCTCCAGTTGAGTGAAGGATGTATTGACTTTGAAAACTAACAAAGTTCTGATTACAGGTGGGTAAGTAAACAGTGTTTGTTTTCCTGTCTGAATTCACACGCTGCACCTGAAGTTAAAAGCATTCCATTCTCTTTAAGATCTACATGAAAACACACAATCTCAGTTTCATAAATAACATTGTTTACAGCCATATCAGAAGAAATTCAACAAGATCACAGATTTATTACTCTTTAACATTCCTTTACAGCTAACAAAGTATTCGGAGTAAATCCTTGCCATTTCAGATGGCTCGTCTTTCCTGTTCCACTCGTCGGCGAGCGACGCTGAGTTGCAAAGTTTTTCCGCCTTCGTGCTTTCTCAGTTTCAGGATATAATGAAAACCTGTTTACTGCTTTCTGTGCCTTGTTTGTTTGTACACCCTTTAACCCAACAGAACACAACCATTAACCATCTCTCACAAGAGTTCTCTAAAGTGGAACTTTGCTTTTGGTTTGTTTATCCTACCAGGATGTAGGAAGTGTCACATCAGTGTGGGAACTATGTATTACAGAAAAGTAACTGGTATTCATACTGAATGAGTCTAAAACTCTTTACTTTTTGCTGATCAGGTGAGACGAGAGAAGAGAGGACCTTTAGAAACTGGATGAACTCCCTGGGAGTGAACCCTAATGTGAATCATCTCTACGTGTATGTATCACCAGGAAAAAACAACAAATTGAATACAGTTTCTGTATTACTTAATGGAAATGTTCATTGTTTATTGTTCTTATAGAGACCTACAAGATGCCATTGTCATCCTTCAGCTCTACGAGAAGATCAAAGTCCCGGTGGACTGGAGCAAGGTGAACAAGCCTCCTTATCCAAAACTGGGGACCATCATGAAGAAGGTAGAGCAGATTTCCTTTCATTGTTCTTTGCTAACAACAACAATTGGTTTATTTATGCTGACATTTGCATAACTCCCCCCCCCCCCAGTTGGAGAATTGTAACCATGCAGTGGAACTGGGCAAATCAGCAAAGTTCTCTCTCGTTGGCATTGGCGGGCAGGACCTGAACGATGGCAACCCAACCCTGACTCTGGCTGTGGTGTGGCAGCTCATGAGAAGGTGAAAACATTCAAGACACTGGGAAATATGGGCACAGAGGGTGCTGAAGCACCCCCTGATTAGAGTTGCATTCGGGCCCAAAAAATCCGACCCGGCCCAGCCTGTAGCCATCATTTACGAACCCCACCCGACCCGACGAATTAACAGTAATTACAGGTCCGAATCCGAAAAAAACCCCGACATTTTTAATTACGCTTTGACTGTTTATTAATTATTAATGGTTGGTGGACACGTAGACCTCGGTAAAGTTAGATTTACATTGAACGTTGGACATTGGAGCTCCGTGGCTTCAGCGGTGTGTTCCTCTCGTTCGATTTGATGCAGGCAGTCTGAAATTCGAACGAGAGGAACACACTGCTGAAGCCACGGAGCTCGAATGTCCAACATAAAACTAACGTTACCGCGGTGACGCACGGCTGAATAAAAGAGGCAGAAGATCAAAGCTGAGGAGATGTTTGTCCTTTCATGGGCGTCAAAGAGCATTAAAACCCTGTTTCTGCCTGCATTCTGATTTATTCAGACATGGACCCTGCTCTGACACGTCTGCTTTGTGATCTCACCTGTTTGGGTCATCGGCTGCACGCGTCTGTTGAGTGCAGCGGCTGAATGAACGTCCATTTGGGCGATGGATCGCTGCCTGGCAGCACAGTCCCATCTGAAGCTTAAATGAACTTTTATTTTACCTCAAGGTCTGTCAGCTCGCGGTGAAATGGCCGCGTGCGGCTGGTGAAGGTATGGCAAGCCATGTTGCCATATAATTGCATGTTATGGCAAGTCATGTTGCCATATAATTGTGTCGCGACTGATCTGCTGACACAATCAAAAGCCCGACACTGACCCAGCCCGCCCATCCAGCACATTATCATGGCCCAGCCCGCCCCGAATTTGGGTCGAGCCGGGCTTCAGGCCCGGGTTAGAAATGACAGCTCTACCCCTGATTAATGTCTGAGGACACCTTGCACTGTGTCTTGGGTGTCAAGGACACGGTGTGAGATCTTTTTTTAATACCTTCTTCGTTCCTCATGTTTTTCTTTTCTTCTCTAAACGATAAGGGCAGCACTTCACAGCGAAGCTGCAGCCTCCTGAAAAGAATAAGGACCATCTTTCCTTTTATCAGCACATAGTTCAAAACTCTGCTTCTCTGATGGTATGGGGGTGCATTTGTAGCTTTGGCATGGGCAGCTTACACATCTGGAAAAATTCTATTGATGCCAAAACGTACCTACAGGTTTTAGAACAACGTACTGCCGTCTTGCTGTTTTTATCAGAGAAGGTCTTGCTTATTTCAGCAAGACGATGCTCAACTGCAAACTGAATTAATGACAACAGTCTGTGTGCTGAACTGGTCTGCCTGCAGGCCTCAAAATTACTTTAAATACAGGTAGAATTTCTTTGTTTGAACAGTGAATATCACTTTGTTCAATTGTGAATAAAATAAGTTTGGCGTTTATAAATCATCACATTCTGTTTTTTACATGACGTCCCAGCTTTTTTCAAGTTGAGGTTGTTTAAAATGAAGCCTGAGCTCAAGGGAGTTAGAACCGTTTTTTTACTGACAAACATATTTATATTTTTCAAACTCATTCCGACTTGTCGTTGATCGTTGCGCATTGTTGCTCTTTCAGATACACGCTGAATGTTCTGGAGGATCTGGGCGATGGAGAGAAAGTAAACGACGACATCATCGTGAACTGGGTGAACAGAACCTTGTCAGGGGCTGGAAAATCGACCAAGATTTCAAGCTTTAAGGTAAGCAGGCGTCCCCACCGCAGAAATATTGTAACAAAATAATTGAACGGTTCTTTGTTGAGCGATGTTCGACTATAAACCTTTTGGGGGACGATGCGTAAAGATCCTGATCCTCTTTGCGTTTGTGTCGATCAGGATAAGGAGATCAGCAGCAGCCTGGCGGTACTGGAACTGATAGACGCCATCCAGCCCGGCAGCGTCAACTTTGAGCTGGTAAAAACAGGCAGCCTCTCTGAAGACGACAAACATGAAAATGCCAAGTAAGAACCTGGTGCCGAAAGAGAAGACTTAAACGTTGGTAGCTGAAAAACCAGTTTCTCACAGTTAAACCTGTACCCCGTCTAGATACGCCATCTCCATGGCGAGGAAGATCGGTGCCCGAGTCTACGCTCTCCCAGATGATCTAGTGGAGGTCAAACCCAAAATGGTGATGACGGTGTTCGCCTGCTTGATGGGTCGGGGGATGAAGCGCGTCTAAACGGGTCAGCTGATTTCATCATGACGCTTAACCCCAGCCGAAAGAGCTCCCCCAAACGACAGAAATGAAGTTTAAAAGTCTTAAACGAGTCCTGTATCTTCATGTAGCTCCGCCTCTTTTCGACTAAAAGCTTTTTTTCCCCCGAAGAATCGTGTTTTCTCTTTTTGAAGGTGAGACTGCATTACTATCATCTCTAGAGATGGCTCTCGTCAACCCGTCACTCATTATGCACTACTCCTCATGCACAAGAATGCTGTATATGTCTATTTCAGACTGAGTGCAGAATTCTGGCTGCAAGGTTGTTTACATATTTTCACCCAGATGGATAAATTATTACCTTGATGAAGCAGCAGACATTCCTGAATCTTTTACTTAATCATGAATATGTGCATCAGAAGGCCAAATGAAAGTAATTCACAGAGTCTGGGTGTTTAGGAGAACACGTATTAAAAAAAAATGCAAGCACGTCTTATTAGGTGGCGCCATGAACGTCTACATATCTGTATCCTGAAGCCATAAGAAGGTCAGTTTATGATTGTGCTGTTTGTATTCTTGTACTCGTGTTTCTTTGGATTATTATGCAATGTTCTGTAAATGCTGGGTTTCCGGACTATGTTACATTGGGATAATATTTTTATTTTGTTTGTTTCTGTACGTTGGACGAGGAGCAGGCTGACTCATGCTGTGCCTTGTGGTCTCAAAGACGACTTACTCTTTGAGATTTTTCCTAGTTTTCCCTCCTCTCATATTACCAAAAACAAACGGTAACTAATCGTTGACTTTGGCCGAACTGCGTTTGGTCTCATGTTCATGTCTACTCTTACAAGTAAGTGCTTTACGTGTAACAATAAACATGGAATTGGAAAGGCTCACTTTTGTTGTTTTTATTGTATTTATTAAAAAAAAAAAATATATATATAATATAAAAATATATATATAATGTTTTAATTTTTATATATATATATATATATAATTTATTTTTATTTTTTTTTATTTTTTTTTTAGTTCTGCATCAGACATCTGTACCGTCTTTGAAAAACGAGTATTACTTGAAGAGTTCAGTTGTTTTTTGTCAAATAAATAAAGTAAATTAAAGTCTTTTGATTTAGAGGAACCACATCTGTTCTGATCTACAGCGTTGAACTGAATTCACCGATCACAGATCAGGGTTTGTTCAGGACAATTTAATGTGAATAAAATTAATTGAAAAATTTACAACCTCACATTGTCCCGTCAAGGACAGTGTGAGATGTTTTTTTTTTTTTTTTTTAAACCTACTCTTTTCTCACGTTTTCCCTTTTCCTTGTATAACGACGAGCAGCGCATCCCACGAGGCTGCGGCCTCAGACGTCCCCATCTACCCATGTTTTCTTTTTGGACGGCTGTCTGAAATGTAATTTCGTTGTGCTTCTGTGCCATGACAATTAAGCTGATTCTAATTCTAAAACAAGGATTGTGCAAACACGAGCACCTAATTTTTTTTCATTCATTCAACCTTTATTTAGACAGGTTAATCCCATTGAGCCTCGAGGACTCATTTACAAGAGAGACCTGATTTTAACAAAGAATGATGACCACAGTGAATAACGATGACAATAGACAATCATAAAATATGCATAGACATGCAAATTTGATCTTTTTTTTTTTTACAAATCAAAACAAAATAGCAAGCAAAAGGACAATCAAGAGGAATAGTAGCAAAAAAACAGCTAGCTTATAAGGCAATTTACAAAACTAAAAAACAAAATTTAGTATGATTGTTCAGAAGACTCGTCTGAACAATCTACCAGTACCCAACTGGTCATCTGAAAATCCAAGATGGGTCATTTTACTATTATTAATAATTTACTACTGTGTTCCTTGCATAGTACTGGGCTACTGACAGAAGAAAACAAATTGACACAAATCTTGAATATAATTACTGTGCAGAAATATGCTCATTTTGGCAGCCATCTTGGATTTTCAAATGGCCAGTCTGCCAAATTGGACAATGCATCAAAGTAAATCTTTATACCAAATTTGGTAATTGTATCACAATTATTATTATCCACTCTTAAGTGCATTGTGTTGATTATAAAACTTCTGTAGACAAATTAAAAGCGATGCAGTTTTTGAATAAATGCATGTGAGCCATGCAGTATGTGTAAACTACGAGTATGGCCTTAATTTACAAAAAATAAATATTTTAATAGTTGTGTTCCGATACAATACTGGTATTGATATCTGCATACTGATACTAGTATTGTATTGGGCCTAATAAGATACCAGTCAGAAGTATTCATACTCCTAAAAATACCCCAATACTTTGGACCAATACCACTTCTATGCTTGATGATGTCATTTCCTCCTCCACTTTGCAAGTAACGGGACAAAAACTAAAATAAATGTCCATATTTGGAGATGTTTTCATTTGAACTCGAATAATGTTAAGACAGACTGTTTATAAAAGAAAAGTTTCTAAAGTCATTGTGTCTTGTTTAAGTACCAACTCATTAACTACTCAGGATTGGCAAACTTACCAAGCTGAAGTACTTGTATTTATACTCCATCTGGGGAAAAAAAATTGCATTGGGACGCCCCTAAACTTTAAAGAGTGAAAACAAACTACTTATTCTACAATTTTATTATAATATATATTATTTTACAGGTGCAGTAGGTAGAGCTGTTGCCTCTCAATGAGAAGGTTGCCGGATCAAATCCCTGCCTGGGGCCTTTCTGAGTAGAGTTTGCATGTTCTCTCTGTGTATGCGTGGGTTTTCTCTGGGAATTCAGGTTTCCTCCCACAGACCAAAAACATGCATGTTAGGCTGATTTTTTCTTTCTTTCAGATTCTCCCTTCTTCAGGGGTCACCACAGCGAACTAAATCGCACAAAGACTTGGCAATTATTTTTACACTGGATGCCCTTCCTGACGCAACCACAGACCACTGAGCTACCACAACCCTCTGTGTGGAGCAGAGAGCTGCTGTCTAGGGTGCTTGTGGGAGCAGATGGTGGGGGTTAAGGGCCTTGCTCAAGGGCCCTGAATGGGGCAAATGAGGGTGGAGACAGGTGTGGGTGCTTCACCTATCCCACCCACACTTTGATGTTGTTGGTACTGGGAGTTGAACCAGCGATCTTCTGATCACAAGCCCACCTTCTCTGATTGTTGGGCTGATTGGTAACTCTAAATTGTCCCTAGATGTGAGTGAGAGAGTGAATGGTTGTTTGTCTCGTTTGTCTCTATGTGTCCCTGTGATGGACTGGAGACCTGTCCAGGGTGTCCCCCGCCTCTCACACAGTGACTGCTGGATATGGGTGGAAAAGGAAGAAGCAAAAAAAGTTGATGGATGGATATTATTTTACAATAAAAACAAAAAAATCCTGGTGAAACATTTACTGACCTTCCAATTTATTTGACAGTGCACAGCCTTCATCACAGTTAAAGACAAATCTACTCTCTGAACACCCACACGGTGTAGTGATCGGTTTCATAAAACAAAATCTCTTTTACAAAGAGCTGTTTGTATGTAATCTACTCGTGCATTTCTACATGAGATGTAAAAGAAGTTAATGAATGAGGAACAAGCTGCAGGAATAACTTCATCTTTTTTTAACAGCTTCTCCTTTCTCTTATTGTTTTCTGCCGCCTCTGTTCTTCCCTCTCTTCCATCGTAAACCTCATCATCTGTCCTCTGAACTGAATGCAGTGAATGCACTGTGTTTAATCTGGTGTCTCTCCTTGTTAGCAGGCTTGTTGTTCTTCACAGTTCCTTGACCATTTTAACACAACAGGAGACAGCAGCAGCAGATTGTGGTTTCCTGTTCACTGACCTGAGTCTTACCTGTGAGGTCCTCTGGGCTTCAGTCCCAGAAAAAAATACATCCACGTTTTCAAAGAGCTGATTAAAGTTGAATGTGTGTCAGTCAGGTGAGAAAGAAGGAGTCTTAAGGGTCCTTTAGTCGTTTTATTTTTTTGTCCTTTGTCACAAAGCAAACTTGGAAATACCCTCAGTCTGTCCTGTGAGCAGAATAACTTGGAAAAATAAGTGAGATAACAATTTTGGTGTGGCTGCTTCTACATTTGCATCATATTTGGGGGGCAGCTGTGGTTAGAGCAGTCATCCTCCAATGCAAGAGTTTAGGGTTCGATTCCACCAGCAGTCACATGCCGAAGTGTCCCTGGGCAAGATACTGAACCCCTCATTGCCTCAGATGTGTGTCCCATCGGTGTATGAATGTGATAAAGCTCTGATTATTCTTGTATAGATCTAGTAGAGTGCTGCATGAATGGGTCAATGAGGGCACAGATTGTAGTGTAAAGTGCTTTGAGTACCAATAAGATAGAAAGGTGCTCCATTATCCATCTAGGTATAACAAAGGTTTTGGGTTGCCACATCAAAATCCAAGATGGCCATCATGGTCATATGTGTATGTGCGTGTGTAAACCAGCCACCCCAGTCATTTGAGGAAACTATCCCTTTTATTTATTGCATGCATGTCAAAGACTTTCTGATGTCTACCTGGATGCTGATCTCCAGAAATCCATAAAATTCACCAACAATTATTTGAACTTTCACACGACACAAACTTCACTGACAACTTAAATATTATGTTGAATATAGATACAGTATATATAACTGAAAAATACTCAGCACAATCCAGAAAACACTGCACTGTCCTCACAGGTGATTCTGGTTGTATTCAATAGTCACTGCACACAACTGTAAAAACTTTCAAACGTGTGACCAAAGTCCTGCGACTGGTATCCAAGATTCAGGGACAAATCTAGAATCAGACATGTGGTTCTTTGTTTACACCTCGTGTTTGTGTGAATTGATCAGGAGCAGGCGATGATTTTTTATGAAAACAAGACTGTTGGAGGTAAAAATTTATTTTAAGCTGAGTTTCGGAAAACCCATGAGACTTTTTCTGTACGTCTCATGACAAAATGTGGGAAAAAAAAACAATTTTCAGACAATCCATAAGGATTGACGTGCATGGTATTCGTTTGTATTTGCTTTAAAGTATCCTCAAATGGTGGACAAAGATTAATCAGTGGTGGCCCAGGCCACCATCAGTTATTGTGGCTGGTCTTGGATAAAATTACTCCCTTCACTCACCAGGATCAGTCCCTCTGTGCAGCCTCAGACAAGAACACCTGTTCTTCTCCACACTGTAACTCCTACTTGAATATGTTGCACCAAAAACATTTAGGTTAACTTGCATTCCCTGGCCAGAAAAACACTCATCTTGAAAACTACAAGCATTCACAGTTCAAATTCCTCAGCGACAGGGGACACGGCGTACTGCTGTTTTCTCAGACAGGGAGGGGATCTTGGGGCGTAAGAGAATTTCTTTAACTTGCTGTACATCCCTGTACAACCACTGGCACATCCTACTGGACATCTGAGATGAAGCTGGACCTGGATCTGACGTCATTCAGAGCTCCAAGTTCTGTTCAGAGGGAGCCTTTTTTTTTTTTAATCTGTGTTAGAGTATTTTGAAGGTATTTTCTGCTACATTTGCACCTTCACAAACTGAGTTTCTGGTGAGAAATTTTAATTTTTTTAAAATTCTTTCTTAATCAGAGATTTAGTTGCCTTTTTTTGTGTGCTTCCAACTTTATCTACAAAGTATGTTCCCGGGAAACTCAAACAACGCTGTAGTCATTTTTACAATTTGGTTTCTCAACATCTTGTTGGTGTCTACCTTTAAATGTGTAATGAAATGTTTGACAACTGAATTACATGTATGAAAAGTAAGTTATGATGGGGGAACCTTCAGCCAGGCTGATAATGTTCTTAAACAAATATCTGCAGTTTTGCAGATAGAAACTTAAGCTCCATTTTCCATCCGTTCAACTACAACAGATAAAATAATAATTTGTCATAACCCATCCACTGAACCCCACTTTAAATGATCTGAAATATCCCTTTAATCACCTGCTGCCTCACACTACTCGTCCTGTCAAGACCTGCAGAGAGAAGCTGCTGCCTGGACATTTTATCCTCCTAATTGAAAGAATGCACCGCCTCCTTGCCTCACCTGCCTCCTACCTCCACTCGTCTGGGGATGAGGTGGGCCATGTGCTCACTCTTCTGAGGGGAGCGTGCACCTCCAGGAGCACAGGAAATGTTGCACCTTAACACTCCTAGGTGTGTTTTAAAGGTCTGTTTTAGTTCAAGGACAGAGCTGAGGATGGACGGAGCAGAAACCTTCGGTGTGAAATCACTTTAAGGATTTTCTGCAGAAACATTAAAGGTAAGAATAAAGATGTTTAACTTTATTTACATTTGTTTTTTCTTACCTGTCATCCACATCCTTTTCGTCTTGGAAGTAAAGCTATAGTTCTAGAGACAAAACATTTGTTCTTTAAGGTAATATTTATTTCCAAACAAAGGTTTAATTAGCAGAAGTGAACAATTATGTCTTGAACGCTGAGTCAGGTTGAAGGATGACTTTTTGTTCCTTTGCACCAGCAGCTCCTGTGATGTAGGGACCCACTAGGTGCGTGCTGGTTTCCTAAGTGATGCAGCTCCTGAGGGAGAGCTGCTGATTGGCTCGCTGAGCTGGAGCACCGCAGGCTGTCCGTGTTGTCATTAATGATCCACCAATTAGTCACACAGGGGTAACAGTTGTCTAAACACCTCATCATCTGTCTGTGCTGCAGAGCGGAAGAGTGTTACAACCCCTCGTGCTTTAAAATTCACTTTTTTATTCAGAAAAGCGAAGTCACTTTCACAGCCGGTGGCTCAGACTGATATAGATAACCTTCATCGAAGTTTGATGTCAAATGGCTTCGTTAACCTTTTGTGCAGATGATTCTGCTCACCCGTTTAATGAGACACGAGTGAATCGGCCAGAATAACGTAAAAGCTAAAAGTTCAGTTCACCCCTAAACTACAATGAATAAAAAGCTGCAATAGAATATATTTAGCTAAAGTTTATAGTCTTAGTTTATTTTTGGTTTATTCACATAGTCCCAATTCACAACAAATTTCATCTCAGGGCATAAAAATATTCACCACTAATATAAAATGCAGACTGGTAAAGGTTATCAATTTAAGGAAACTAGCAGAAGGAGTCGCAACCTCCCATCCTGAGCAGCATGGAGGCGACAGTGGGAAGAAAAACCTCTGTTTTAACAGGACAAAACCACCAGCAGGTGTAGTTTATAAGGTCTAGGTGTCGTTTCTATGGTGCAAATGTTGTTTCAAGGATTCAAGGATTTTTTTATTGTCATACCAGCTCACATTTGCATGTTTATGGTATGAAATTCGAAATATGGTTGGTTCTGACCATATGGTTGGTTTAACTTGGTTCTATGGTCTAGATGTGATTTCTATGGTCCAGGTTTGGTTTCTTTGATTCAGGTGTGGCTTGTATGGTGTAGTTTTAATGGTCCAGGTGTAGTGTACAGTATATGGTCCGTTTGTTATTTATATGGTCCAAGTGTGGTTGATTTTGTCCAGGTGAGCTTTCTATGGTCCATGTGTTGTTGTTTTTTTTTAGTTTTTATCTAGGTGTAGTTGGCGCTGGTTTATATGGTCTAGATGTAGTGTCTGTGGTCCAAGTGTACTGTAGTTTCTATGGTCCAAATGTTGTTTCTATTGTCCAGGTGTAGTTTTTATGGTTCAAGTGTAGTTTCTATGGTCCAGGTATGCTTATATGGTCAAGGTGTAGTTGCTAATTGCTATGGTACAGATGTTGTTTTAATGGACCAGGTGTACTTTCTATGGTTCAGATATGAATTCTATATTTCAAGTGAATTTTCTATGGTTCAGGTGTGGTTTATAGGGTCCAGGTGTGGTTTCTATGGTCCAGGTGTAGTTTCTATGGTCCAAATGTAGTTTCTATAGTTCAGGTGTTGTTTCTATGGTCCTTGTGTGATTTCTATGGTCTAGGTGTTGTCTATTTGGTCCAAGTGTAGTTTAAATGGTCCATGTGTAGTTTCTATGATCCAATTGGTATTTCTATGGTTCAGGTGTAATTCCAACCATCCAGGTGTGTTTTTCATTGCCCAGATGTGGTTTTTATTATCCTGGTGTAATCTTTATGGTACAAGTGTAGTTTCTATGGTCAATGTGTGGTTATTATGGTCCAGATGTACAAAGTAGTTTCTATGATTCAGATGTAGTTTCTATGGTCCAGGTGTGGTTTCTATTGTCCAGGTGTAGTTTTTATTAGGGGTGCACCGATAAATCAGCCGGCCGATTTATCGGCCTCGATTTCCTTAATTTTGGGAAATCAGAAATCGGCCAATACTTGGAGGAGAAGCTAATTTTACAGATTTTTTTTTAGTTTTAACAATTGTCTGAACTTCATTTATATTTCAGAGCACTACTTCATGGCCAGTTAAAACAAAATTGTATTGTTTCTGGGATATTGTTCAAGGGCATGTTTTTCAACAAAATAATATTGGAAAATTGATGGTGCATTGTAACTTTATAACACCTGACAGTGTCACTTATAAAACAAAATCGGAATCGGCAGGTCAGACTTTTTAGAAATCGGTGATTGTTGATCAGCCAGAAAACTGCATTCGGTGCACCCTTAGTTTTTATGGTCCAGGTATAGTTGCTATGGTCCATGTGTGGTTTATATGGGAAGAAAATAAAAATAAAAATTCATGTTTATGATAGGCAGCATGGTGGCACAACTGGTTCAGCTGCTGCCTCTCAACGAGAAGGTTGCTGGTTCAAATCCCGGTCCGGGGACCTTTCTGGGTGGAGTTTGCATGTTCTCTCCGTGCATGCGTAGGTTTTCTCTGGGTACTCTTGTTCCCTCCCACAGACCAAAAACATGCATGTTAGGCTGATTTGTGACTCTAAATTGTCCCTAGGTGTGAGTGAGAGTGTGAATGGTTGTTTATCTCGTTTGTCTCTATGTGGCCCTGTGATGGACTTGCGACCCGTCCAGGATGTACACCGCCCCTCGCACAGTGATTGCTGGACATGGGCACCGGCGACCCCCGTGACCCAAAATGGAAGAAGCGGGTAAAAGATAATGGATGGATGGATGTTTATGATATAAATAATTAAAAATACAAACATGAAGCATAAAAACAGCAGCAGAGTGAGGAAATGTGGTCAGTTTTATTTCTAGAAGTCTAAGCCTATAGCAGTAGATCTAAGGGATATCTTAGGAAACCTAAGTTGACTCTAACTATAGGATTTTTCAAAAAGGAAAGACTTAACTCTAGTCTTAAAAGTATACAGAGTGTCAGCCTCACAGACAGAAACTGGAAGTTGGAGCCTGATTACTGAAAGATGTTCCTCCAGTTATACTTTTAGAAACACTAGGAACCATGTAAACTCGTAATCTGGGAGAAAAGTACTCTGCTTGGAAAATATGGAACGATTAGATCTGTAATAGGGTTAATTGGAGTTTTGTTCATGAGTGAGGGAAAACTGGAATGTGAGATTGACAGACGGATTGGTGCAGCGTCTGCAGTATTGCGGAGACCGTGCTGGTCTGTTGTAGTGAAGAGGGAGTTGAGCTGTAAGGCGAAGCTCTCTATTTACTGGTCCATCCATTTTTCTACCCTCATGGCCACGAACTCTGGGTGGTGACCGAAAGAATGAGATAGCAGATACAGGCAGTTGAAATGAGTTTCCTCCACAGGGTAGCTGGATTCTCCCTTAGAGACAGGGTGAGAAGTTCAGTTATCTTGGACTCGGAGTAGAACCTCTGCTCCTCCACATCAAGAGGAGCCAGTTAAGGTGGTTCGAGCATCTGATAAGGATGCTCCCTGGGCGCCTCCCTAGGGAGGTGCTTTGGTGCTTTGGGCATGTCTGATTGGGAGGAGACCCCAGGGAAGACCCAGGACACACTCTGGGTTGGCCTGGGAACACCTTGGAGTCCTCCCAGCTGGAAGAGGTAGCTGTGGAAAGAGATGTCTGGGCTTCTATGCTCAAGCTGCTGCCCTTACGACCTGACATTGGAACAAGTGGAAGATGATGGATGGATGGAAGGATGAATGGATGGATGGATGGATGGATGGATGGATGGAAGGATGGATAACAAATTTAATGACAAAAACTAACAAGAACAAATCTTCTCTTTTATTAAATTAACCTAATAAATTTTTAATAAATGCATTTTGCTCGCTGCCATGCATGTCCATGTATTAAACAGATCATTGTTTGCAAAATTAAACAGATCCCTCATTTTTACCAGAACTGTCAGCTCTCAGGGTAAATGTTGTGTATGACTCTCAGCTACTCCACAACCAATTTTAGATCAATATATGTGAAACAGACTCCAAATCAGTCATAGATGCACATCCAATTGCAACCGGTTCACCTGCTCATGAGATATTTTGCTAACAGTCAGACAAACACATGATCACCCACCTTTTATATAACTTTTGTTCTGTTAAAGGCAGGTTTCTGCATGAATTATTTCTGTGAAAAGTTTTTATTTTTATTATTAGTTTACTGACACTGAAAAGTCCCATGGATTGCTCTGAGCGTGTTCTGTAGCTACTTGTGTCGCCATAGCAACAAGCAACCACCTGATGTCTGATGGTTTGGGACTGAGGAAGACCGTCCCAGTCATCCCCCGTCCCCTGACATACAGCACCACAAACGCATTTCTGCTCTACTGCAGGAGACACATGTCAAACTCAAGTAGCAACATGGGTTAAACGGAGACAAAGTTGGACTTTATTGTCTCTGCTTGTCCAGTGCCGACAGAACCGAGGATGACGGGCCAGGTGGCTGAGAGAGACCGGTCCCCAAACAGCCTGTCTGTGAAGACCGCCCTGGAGGATGAGACCGAGAGAGCCGAAGGCCTTCTGAGCAGGTAATCAGAGCTTCCTGAGGGGACTTTCTTTTAAAAAAGAGATTTTTAAATAAAGTGTGCAATGAGACTCAGATGGGGTTTTTAATTTTTCATCCCAGAGTTCCATCTCTCTGCGATGACACGTCCTCAGAGCTGCAGAGAGTTGCTGATCTTGATCAAAATGGACGTAATTCAAGAAATTCTTTTCAAAGGAGCGGAGCCATCTCAAGGTGAAACTGTAACAACCAGCGTCTGTCACAGTCTGTTCAGCTGGTTTAAAAGCAAAAAAAAAAAATGATTGCACACCTCCACTTGTACATAAAGCCACCCTGACAGATGGTTTCTGCTTGTCTCAAATCGGTGCCGTTTGTAAAGTTGCACAGTCAAAAATTAACAGCAATATTTTGGTTTATTTAGCCTTTCATAGGAAAAAAAAAAGTTGTTTTTTTCAAAGTCATGTTTTCACCATGTTATTCGTACATTTATAAATGTCATAGTTCACTAACTAAATAGTTCATTTACAATCTAAATATTTAGTTTACAAACTAAATACTTAACTTGCAAGTTAAATATTTAGTTAGCAAGCTAAATATTTAGCTCCACACTAAATATTTAGTTTACAAACTAAATGTTTATGTCCAAGCTAAATGTTTAATTTACAAACTATCCTCTGTGATAATATTCTGGCGTCATCAAAGCTCCGCCCCCTCAGAACAGGAAGTCGCTTGTTTTGCTTGGAATGCTTCCTCTCTGACATCCTTGACCTAATCAGGATGATCCTGTGTTAGAAGACATTTAACAAGTTGGTCTGACTTGCTTTAAAGCACAAACAATTTTTGCTGGAGGATGTGGGCGTAGCGAATTCAGAAGTGATGCCGTTACAATACGTTTGGCTCTAAATTGCACAGATTTAAGCTAAGGTGCACGAAAAAAACTATGATCGATCATCCACCCCTTCAACAGGAATCCATGATAATTGGCCATAGCCTCCACAGCGCCACATACATTTTTCCTACAGTTATAGTTCAGTGATCCGATCTGGACCAGATTTATTGCGCGTCATCAGTGAGGACTTTTAGACACACTGATATTTTGGTTTAACATATGACTCAAATGTGCCCCCTAGATTATTTAATAAGTTAGATCGCAGTGATATATCATCCGATCTGAACCAGAATTTTGGTGCATAATCAGTGACCAGTATAGACACATTGATATTGTGGTTTAACATATGATTCAAGTGCGCCCCTTAGATTATTCCAACAGTTATATCTCAGTGAAATATCACCCAATCTAGGCCAGATTTTGGATACGTCATTAGTGAGCACTTCTACACACACTGGTATTGTTGTCCAACTTTTGACTCCAGTGCACACCCTAGATTATTCCAACAGTTATATCTCAGTGAAATATCATCCAATATGTACCAGATTTTATGTGTGTGATCAATGAGCACTTATAGACACATTGATATTGTTCTTTAACATTGGACTCAAGTGCGCCCCTACATTATTCCAACAGTTATATCTCAGTGTTACATCATCCGATCTGAACCTGAGTTTTTGTGCTTCATCAGTGAACACTTGTAGACACATTGGTATTGTTGATTCATGACATCACTTAAGCCCCACCTACTCAGAGAAAAACCTGTCGATTATTGGATGACACTTCCAGCTTCGTACTGTATAAGATATTAGACTGAAACTTTGTTCGCTAACTGTTGATTACCACACGACATGTTGAAAAGCATAAAGGAAGTGCTTGTCAAACATTCGCAACAAAACAGGAAGTCACCATAACTCCTGTCTGGAAGGTCAGATTTGGCCTGTACTTGTAAAACCTGCAGCTGGACAAGTAACGACATGGACGGAAGGCGATGTCGAAGATTCGGGAAATGCACCCCGTGGTGAACACGTGCGGGATTGGCACGAGAGCATTCGCGATGGTGACTGGGTGGACTAGCTGGAGCTCCCGCAGTCGCTGTAAGGCCGGAAGCGGCGCTTTGCTGCGAGGGCCTCCAATTCTGCTTGCAGCTTTAATTCTTTGTTGAAATCAGGTCTCTCTTGTAAATGAGGCCTCAAGGCTCAATGGGATTAACCTGTCTAAATAAAGGTTGAATGAAAATGTAGGTGTAAATTAAATATTTAATTTCCAAGCTAAATATTTATTTTCAAAACTAATCCTTTAATTTGCAAACTAAATATTTATTGTCCAAGCTACGTAAATATTTAATTTCCAAACTAAACATTTAATTTCAAAGCTAAACATTTAGTTCGTAAACTAAATATTTAATTTGCTAACTACATATTTAGCTCGGACCTAAATATTTATTTACCAAACTAAACATTTAATTTCCACAATAAATATTTAATTTGTGACTAAATATTTAGCGTGAACCTAAATATTTATTTTCCAAACTAAACATTTAATTAAATATATATATATATATTTAATTTGCTAACTAAATGTTTAGCTTGGACCTAAATATTTATTTTCCAAACTGAACATTTAATGTCCAAAATAAATATTTATTTTGCGACTAAATATTTAGCGTGAACCTAAATATTTATTTTCCAAACTAAACATTTAATTTCTAAAATAAATATTTAATTTGCTAACTAAATATTTAGCTTGGACTTAAATATTTATTTTCCAAAATAAATATTTAATTTCCAAAATAAATATTTAATTTGCAACTAAATACTTAGGTCGGACATAAATATTTAACTTGTTAGCTAAATATTTAGCTTGCAAGCTAAATATTTAACTTGTGAAGTTTGTTCTTCCAGTAAACTGTTGCTAAATATTTAACTTGCAAGTGAACTTTTCAGTTTGGAAAATAAATATTTAGCTTGTAAATTAAATGTTTAGTCTGGAACTATGACATAATAAATGTATGAATATCATAGTGAAAATATGACTTTGAAAAAAAACAACCTTTTTTTATAAACCAAAAAAATTGCTGTTAATTTTTGACTGTATATCTTTACAAACGGCACCCCATATGCTAGCTCTTCTGCTGTTTTAGTTTGAAAGCTGAGATTTGATTTTAAAGGCTTTTCTTCCTCTCATGTCAGAATGGTGAACTTGGTGGTGAGGCTGAGGGAATGGGCTCACCGGAATATGCAGGAGGAAGAGGAGAGACCGGACTCCTTCCTGGAACGCTTTCGTGGCCCTGAACTCAGAACAGCCCCGAGTCGTAACAGCAACACCCACCCAGATGTCAACGGCAACAATGCCAAGGGGATCTTTTGGTATTTCTTTTCATGTTCATAAGTTCATAGACAATAAACTGACCTTCAAGAAGTCAGATCTTATGTGGACTGAGTATGCGTCCAACACATTTTGTGCTAATAATTATTTAGCTTTTTTTTAAGCATTTTAAAGGGTATTTTAGATGTTTTGGCTTCATTTTCATCAATGTTTAGCCATTCACAATGTATGACAGCACATTGTGCAGTTTATTATTTAAAAAATGAGAAACATGTTAACATGACGAAGATCTACAGCAGATATATCTTTAAGAAACACAAATAAATAAGGATATTGTGATCTGCTGATTCAGTGTCCTGCAGGTGGTTTGTTTGAGAATCCCCTTGTTGTAGCTAAAATACTTTGTGTCAAACAGTGATCTCAACAAAAGACATGGGAACCTATTGTGCCAAAAAGCAGCCAAAGGCCAAAGAAAAACGTACACTTTCAAAAGCCCCAAAATGACAAGAAAATCTGGCTGCTTGAGAACAAAATACAAACAAAGAGTGACTTGAAATATTCGCACAGTAGTGCCACAGTATCTTAGCACTTTTCTTTAGACCTAAAATAACTCACAGGGTCACAGAGGAACCAAAAGGTTGTGATACTGTATATATCAGAGTCAGAGTCAGAGTCAGAGTTTCTTTATTGTCATTCGCACCTCATGTGGTACATGTGGTGGAGCGAAATTATGTACACAGGGTCCCAGTTACATCCAACAATAAAATGTATAAGAAAAACAGTAATAACATCTAAGATATGAACTAAGAAAAACATCAACTAAATATACACTAAGCACTCATAACATAAAACATTGAACATCAGCACAAACATGAACATGAGTCTGTGAGCAGATGTGCACGCATGAACACATCAACATTGAAACAGATCAGCAGCAACATGAAACAGATCAGCAGCAACATGATATGGTTTTTCACAGTGATTATTCTAGTTAGAGATTCATGAGTCTAACAGCCTCAGAGTAGAAGCTGTTCCTCAGTCTAGTGGTTCTACACTTAATGCTCCTTAACCTCCTTCCTGAGGGGAGTGGGGCAAAAAGTGTGTGTGCTGGGTGAGTGGGGTCCTTCATGATGCAGGTGGCCCTCTTCCTGCATCTGGAGGTGTAGATGTCTGTGATGGTGGGGAGGCTGAGGCTGATATATCAAACTCAGCAGCTGTTTTTACCAAACACGAGCTAAAGAAACAGCCGTTGTTGTATTCCTGCTGTTCTATCTGCTCTAATTTGCGTCTCTTTCATTGCATCGGTTGTTTTCTCCTCCGGCTTTCAGGAAACAGTGGGATTTGTTTGTGGTGTCCCCATCTGATGACATGTACTACCGCTGGTTATTTATCATCGCCTTAACCGTGCTCTACAACTGGTTCCTCGTAGTTGCAAGGTACCAATCATCCTAGAGGTTGTCTCATTTCTGCTGTAGAGTTGGGTCATGGATGAAGAGCCTACCTTCTTGACCTAACCACTGAATCTTGTATTGTATCCTCAGAGCATGCTTCGACAAGCTGCAGTTGAACAACTACATCTGCTGGCTGGTGCTGGACTACCTCTCTGACACTGTGTACTTCCTGGACACTTGTGTTCGACTTCGCACTGGTAACTTTTTTTTTTTTTTTTTTTCAAAAATGCAGTTACAGTTCACAACAGGAGCAACACCAAGGGGGGACCAATGGTGGCAAGGACCGTTCCTAAAAAAAAACTGCTTACCCCCCACTGGCCCCCAGTGGCCAGATAGTTTTATCTATTGAACATTTTTAATTTTCCCAAGCTGTTTAGAATTAGTGGAACCTCATAAACGCAAATGCTTTTTAAGCATTATGGAGTTAAAAACATAAATATATAGTTTATTTAAAATTAAAAATAACTTTAAATTCTAGTCTCCTGAATAGAGACAACTGGTCTAAAACCAATGTCATAAACATCAGGATTTCAGAGCTTATATGTTTTCATATATATATATATATACATGCCACCCTATCACAAAATATTCTGGAGGTACCACTGTTCACAGTAAAATAAATAAATAAATAAATAAATACTTAGTTGTTTGTTTTATAAATCCTGGCGAGATTGTAGTTTTATCCTGCTGTTCTTTGAGAGAATCTCACAGCAGAGTTGGTATTCGTTTCTAAATAAAACATTGATGAATCCTCTGAAAACATCCGTTTTGACTTTGCTAATCTGATGAGCATCACGCCAACGTTTTGATGACACACAAACAAAACAGTACTGTACAAAACTCATGAGTCATCCCTCAGTTCTTTATACTTTACTTCCAAGGAGCCAGGCTCTTAAGCTCTTTAAAATTCTATCCATCCATCATCTTTACCCGCTGTAGGGTGACAGAAACTAAGTGGAAGAGGATTCAAGACCACCATAACGTCTCTGGGACAACTTTTAGAGTGAATATGTTGCTTATTATTTTTAACATGTCCAAAATTTGTGGTACATCAAAGTGAGGCCCTTTGATTCATGAGGAGATTAAGAACCTTCACAATTATGAGATGTTTTCATTGCCAAAACGTTTTGCAATTTGCCACCAACAGTCACAGTGAGATAGTAGCTATAATGGTAACAAAGAAACTGATAAATTAAGGAAAATACCTTGTAAGTCTCTACCGCAGGATCCCAGTTCAGCTTTATCTCTTTCCATGAACTAGTTTGCAGAGCTGGAAGTTGACACAGAACTGACTTTGGTCTTTGTCTCAGGTTTCTTGGAACAGGGTCTGCTGGTGAAGGACCACGTCAAGCTAAGGGACAGCTACGTTCGAACTCTACAGTTCAAGCTGGACATCTTGTCCATCCTTCCCACCGACCTGGTTTACATCCACACTGGCATCCACACGCCTCAACTCAGGTTCAACCGTCTGCTGCGCTTCCCACGCATGTTCGAATTCTTTGACCGCACCGAGACTCGCACCAACTACCCCAACATTTTCCGCATCTGCAACTTGGTGCTCTACATCCTGGTCATCATCCACTGGAACGCCTGCATCTACTATGCCATATCCAAGTCTTTGGGATTTGGCTCGGATACTTGGGTGTTCCCGAACATCTCCAGTCCTGAGTTCGCCTCTCTGTCGAGAAGCTATGTCTACTGTCTGTACTGGTCAACTCTCACTCTTACCACCATTGGAGAGATGCCCGCACCCGTGCGGGACGAAGAGTATCTGTTTGTGGTCTTCGACTTTCTCGTTGGGGTGCTGATCTTTGCAACGATTGTGGGAAACGTGGGCTCCATGATCGCCAACATGAACGCCACCCGCGCCGAGTTCCAAGCTCGAATCGACGCCATCAAACACTACATGCACTTCCGGAAAGTCAGCAGAGAGCTGGAGACACGTGTCATCAAGTGGTTTGACTACCTCTGGACCAACAAAAAAGCAGTGGACGAGCAGGAGGTGTTGAAGAACCTTCCGAACAAACTGCGGGCTGAAATCGCCATCAATGTGCACCTGGAGACTCTGAAGAAAGTCCGAATTTTTCAGGACTGTGAGGCCGGGCTGCTGGTGGAGCTTGTGCTCAAACTACGCCCACAGGTTTTCAGTCCGGGAGACTACATCTGCCGGAAAGGAGACATCGGTAAGGAGATGTACATTATTAAAGAAGGGAAGTTGGCTGTGGTGGCCGATGACGGAGTCACGCAGTACGCCCTACTCACCGCTGGCAGCTGCTTTGGAGAAATCAGCATCTTGAACATAAGAGGCAGCAAAATGGGGAATCGTCGGACGGCCAACATTCGCAGCTTGGGTTACTCCGACCTTTTCTGCCTCTCCAAGGATGACCTGATGGAGGCGGTGACCGAGTACCCAGATGCCAAGACGGTGCTGGAGGACAGGGGGCGGGAGATCCTGAAGAAGGAGGGTCTTCTGGACGAGAACGCAGAGAGGGGCGGGCTGCAGAAAGAGGACACAGAGGAGAAGGTAGAGAGGCTGGAGTCCTCTCTGGACACCCTGCAGACTCGTTTCTCCCGTCTTCTCAGTGAATACACAGACACTCAGCAGAGGCTGAAGCAGCGGATCACTCTGCTGGAGCGGCAGCTGAATCAGACGGACTGCGGCGCAGAGCCAAACAGCACAAGTGCCAGTGAACATGAGGCTGGGGCTGACGGATCCACAAGCGGGACACCGAATCGGAAGGTTGTGCAAACGCCGAACAGAACAAGTCCAAAAATATCCCACTAAAACCTTTTTTAATTATTATTTTTTTATCAGAACCTCCTTTGATTTTTTTTTTTTTCCCTGAAGATTTTTCAGTTTAGAGAATAAAGCGATATTTGTAATACTTTCACTGGACAAAGAAAGTTTGGTGTCTTTTGTTTTAAACATCAAGACAAAACATGATCTGGTCTTTAGGTTCCAAAATTATTCCATTCTAGCCTCACAAGCAGAAAAACACGCAGAAGACTCCAACATGTCAATGTTTAGACAATGTTAGAGATATAATTTTCATTAGGTCTTTAAGACTGGACTTGCTTTTCCCTAAGAAAAACAACTATTAACAGTCAAAAACAGTGAGTTGGGAGCATTTTAAAGGCTGACTTGAATGTTTTAGCTTCACTGAGCAGAATAAAGTTATAAATCATAGAAACAAACAAATAAATGGAGCTCCGGTGGACTAAAAGGTGCAGTCCGGGTGCTTTGTGGTGCAGTTTAGGAGTCACCTGTGTTTACGGTGTTTGTTTGCATCAGCAGAGGGATTCAGTTCCCTCTTCGGGCCATATATTATGCTCTGGTTCTGTACACACCGAGTCCTGCTGCCACTCCTGGGAACAAAACATCTAAGGAGACTTTCACTCAATTATTTTCCAGCGACCTCATTTTCGAAGTCAGAGCTGCATAAACACAAGGCGGGTAACAAACTGGAGTTTGTTGTTCTTCCAAACTCCTGCTGCTGAGGGATGTTAAAGTTTGTGCCATAAAAAAGAAACTCAAGACTTTTTTATGCTTTAAAATGTCATGTTGCATCTTCTTTTGAATATAATGTAGGAAGTTGTGGAACATTGCATTATGTCTACAAACAGTTTTTTGAAAATGGATTTTAATAAAAACAGTGCGTGGACAGAAGGGCCGGGGATTTTCCCGTTTTTCAGCTTCTGCATTCCAGGATGCAAGTGAAGCACATGAGCAGTGTTGATAAGCAGCTGGAACAAAAATGTCTGCAGCTGAACCGAGTGGAACAAAGAGGCCGGAGGGAGCGAGCCCTTTAAGGCTCGATGACGTCATTTATCTTTCCTCACCTGCAGCATGTTTCATTCAGTCACAGCAAAATGTCACCTGCAGTGACACTTTAAGAGTAGGACGAGTAGTAGGAGCAGAAATGTTGCTGTAAAGCGCAATTGTTTTTCTTTCTAATGAAATCCTGTTTTTTGCTTTTTCTGACTAATTTTCCTATTTGTTTGTATTTCACCATCTCTGGCTCTTAGCTAGCATTATTATAATTTTGCTTTATGCTTGCATTTAGCCATTTCTGCTTTTAAGATAGCTTTTTTGCTAACATTTAGCTACTTTTGGTTCTTTGCTAGCATTTACCTGCTTTTTGGTAGCATTTAGCTACGTCTACTAAGCTATAGCCTTTTTCTAGCTTTTTTACTGGCATTTTGTGGCTTATGCCTTTAAGTTTAAATGCTTAAATACTTAACTCTAAACTAATCAAGTCAAGAAGTATTTGGATTATTTTAACATCTTCCCATCAGTCTGGTTTTAGGAAACAACACAGCACAATGATTGCTTTGTTGAAGGTTTTTAATGATGAAGCACTGGATGCTAAAGATTATTGTGCTGCACTTTATTTAGACCTGTCTAAAGCTTTTGATACTGTGTACAATGACATCTTATGCCATAAGCTCTCATTCTCAGACCACACTATTGGTTGGTTTTCTAACCTCTCAGATCAGAGGCAATGTGTTCAACATAATGGTACTTCTTCCAGCTATTTAACTGTCAACAATGGTGTACCACAAGGCTCAGTCTTAGGACGCACCTTCTTCAAAATCACAAAATTGGGACCCTGTGTACACAATTTTGTTCCACCACATGTACCACATGCGATGCAAATGACAATAAAGAACCTTAACCTTGATATGTTATGTAGGTCAGACCATTCCTGATGCATCTTTACATTTCTATGCCGATGACACAGTAGTTTATTGTCGAGCTAGAACAGTTGCTAAGGTTTTCCAGCTTTTGCAATCTGCATTCAACATAAGTTTTGTTCCATCTCAAACTCGTCCTAAATGCTGACACACACCCCTGTTCAACTCCGTGTTCAACTGTCCCCCCTTACAATGCTGTTGTTGCTAGCATCACTCAGCCCCCTGTGAATAGTAAACAGCCATCAGTGTGCTAATGATCCATTGTTAGGCTGATGGTCCTTCTTGACCATGTGGAATTCAGTTTGGTTTGGTGGGCTCCTCAGACTGAAGAAGTCCTTCGGATGAAAAGTCTCAGCAACAAAAGAAACCGTCCAGATGACCTGACTGAACAGTACTGTCTTCCGCTGCTCCACAACAAAATAATTCAAATTTAGAAAAACATGAATTATTCTCAGGGTTTTGCCCACTTTGTTGTGAGCAGGTTAAAGCCTCTGCTGGTGCTGCGTAAGTAACAACTTGGCTGTAAACTCCAGATCTCCGCAAAGGTTCTTCTCTGCCCTTTTGAGTATTTTCCATTTGGAGCAAAGATCATATGTTCCAATTTTTCTGATTTTGGCTTTATTTCACTTTATTATGCAACTTGTTGAACTTGTAAATACTGGTACCAGTGGTTTTTATAAGTTTGAAACCAAAAGTGTTTTCAGCATAATCCTGCAGTCCTCATCTGCAGATGGTGCTAGTGTTGTTCATAAAGACGGTTATAAGGTGCCTTTATTACAGAAACTGATGAGTTCACATTTGACCTGCAGGCTCATTTAACATCTCAAACCTGAGTGAAAGCAGACCCTAAATACTGAGCTGTCAGTTCAAATCAGAGGTTTAAAATATTCAGTTTTATCGGCTTATTTAAGCAGAATAAAGACAAATTTAAAGTGACCGAGCCACTAGGTCATATGTGTCAAACTCAAGGCTCGGGGGCCAAATGTGGCCCTCGTTGACATCTGGCCGCCAAGATGTTATTTTAAATGTAAAATACTTTTATCACTTTAATTTTTTCAGTAATCTTTGATTGCCATGTCAAAAGTGCAATAGAGAACATCAAATGAGATCAATCAAACTTTTGTTGAGGAACCTGCAACCAAGAAAAGATGTTGTGTATCTAACTAGAGTTAATGGAGATTATGAAACCGGCCCCTAGATTGAAAAAGGGTTTAATTTTGGCCCCCTTTGTGACACCTCTGCACTAGGTGAAGAGTTTAGCTCCTAAAGGATGATACCTACTGGTAGATGTTCTTCAGAAAGTTTCTCTTTAACTTTACACCCGGCTTGTTAAATCAGAAGTAACCTAAGTGAGCTGTGCCTTTAAACGGCTGCTCCAGCTGCTCAAACATTGGGCTCAGGTTACTCGACAGGTGCGAGCCAACTGGAGCAGCGTGTTGAGCGTGCGCAGTGTGCACGGACACTACACAATTCACCCCGATGGCTTGAAGACGAAAGAAAAGACACTTCAAACATGCTTCTAAATACAACTATATTGTTTGTGGTCAGCTTATTTAAAAATCAAACGGTGCCACCCACTTTTTATTTGGCACAAAGTAGCATCTCCAATCCCCAGGACCTGCTGCGTAAAGTGAATAAACCCAGCGTGACATCAAACACACCCCTTCCATCGAAACCTCAACTTTTCTGCTTTAATGCGTCAAATTAGCACAAATATTCCAACAGAGCGTATCAGGATCCTTCTGATAACTGCAGAAAGTAGACTCAAAGAAACTATGATTTCTTTATCTTAATATTACTGTGATTGAACGTGAAGGTATTTGTAGAAACGGTGCAGCTGCGAGGGGCCGCCTGCGCGCTGCGGATTGATTGGCTGAGAGGATCCGCAGGGAACAAAAGCTAGCGCATCCGCATGTGCAGGCTGTGTTTGGGTCCGTCCACCCGCTCCAACTTCTCAAAGTGTTTCCTAGCATTACGAATGTTGATGAGAGTTGCTGCAGATGCTGTAAATACATAAATAAACAAACAAACAAACATCAGCTCAAATCATCATTGGTGCAGTTTTACAGTTTTCTGCTGTTCATCCTTGAGTTTGCTGCAGAGGCGGGCTCTGTCAGCGACTTACGGATGGAGGGGTCCGACATGATGACCATGACGTAAGTGTTGGAGGTGAAGACGTCGATGAAGGCTGCAAAGTTGGAGTTCCTCACCTCCATGCTCTGGAAAGAGGCTGCAAGCTTACTGGAACAAGAGTACCACGGCACATTACACACCCGCCGATTCAATTCAGTTCAGTTTATTTATACAGCACCAAGTCACAACAGAAGTCATCTCAGGGCACTGAACAGAAACATTTACATGTAAAATAATAATTTAATATTATTTATCCGAGGAGCAGACTGCTTTGAATTTAACTCCATCACAGAACTCTCATCTTGAGCAAGCATGAAGGTGACAGTGGAAAGGAAAAACTCCCTCATGAGGAAGAAACCTTTAGCAGAACCAGGTCAGAACAAGCGACCATCTGCTTTGACCGGGTCGACAAAACTGGTGCACAGAAGTATCTAAAGCAACGGCCCGGAAAAGCAAACGCCTTGTTGCTCATGAAGCATTCACACTATTGTGATCCATTTTTCTTCCGTACATTTTTCGGCATCTTTCTTGTTCCACAATGTTCGTGCTATTTTAACAAATCAAAACATTCAGCTCGTTCAGGAGAAGGGTGATTTGGTATTGGCACAACTTTAGCTATTTGAAATATTTAGCCTTTTCTGCCACTTTTTCCTCTCATAGGAAATGAATTGAGCTCATTTTACATCCTTCAAATCTTTAGATCTGTTTACAACCTTTTACTGCTCCTTTCATTTTGTGCTGCTTCAGCTTCTTTCAGATTCCTTGTGAAAATTTAAACTTTTTTCCAGCTACTTTCAGCCGTTTTGTGATCCTTTCAGCTTCTTTCTGCTAACTAGAAAATTTTTGTGATTCTTCTAACTTCTTTGTGCTAATGTCAGCTTGTTATGCTCCTTTCAGCTTATCCCTGGAAGTTTCAGCTTTTACTATGATTTCAGCTACTATATAGCTGTTTTATGCTAATTTAAGCTTTTCAATTAATTCCACATTTTTTTGCCTTCACTTCAACTTTTTTCAGCATAATTCAGCAAAAATGTGCTTTCTCCACTTCCTTCTTGTAATTTCAGCTTCTTTATGCCTTTATAGCTACTATTCAACTGTGTTTTGTTGCCAATTTCAGCTTTTTTCAGATAATTTCCACTTTTTTGTGCTTGTTTTTGCTTCTTTCAGCAAACATATTCTTTCTGCTTTGTTCTGCTAATTTAAGCTTGTTCTAAGCTTGTTCTACATTTCCTGCGTTTTCCAAAGAAATTTTCAGCTAATTTCAGCTGTTTTCAGAAAAATTCATTTTTTGTGGTAATTTCAGCTACTTTCAGCCTAATTAACTTCTTTCTGCTAATGTCAGCTTGTTATGCTCCTTTCAGATTTTTCTGCTACTTTCAGCTTTTTCCGCTATTTCAGCTACTTTTTAGCAGTTTTGTGCCAAATTGAGCTTTTTAAGCTAATTCCATATTTTTAGCTTATTTCAACTTCTTCCACTTACTTCTGGTAGTTTCAGCTTCTTTCTGACTTTTAAGTTCCTTTTCAGCTATATATATATATTTTTAGCCAATTTCCACTTTTCTGGCTAATTTATTACTTTTTGTGCTCATTTCTGCTTCATTAAACCAAATTCAGCAAACGTGTGTTCTTTCTGCTTTCTTCTGTTTATTTAGGCTTGTTCTTACATTTCAACATGCTTTTAACTAATTTCAGCTGTTTTTCAGCAAGTTCTTCAGCAATAAGCATTCACACAGCATTTTTTCTGGAAATGCAGTTTCTTTAGTTTTAACTTTGACCTTGATTTGTGACCTTGACATTTGAGCTGGAATGATGAAAAGATTGTGACGTTGTACAAATGTGCACCAAGTTTCATAAAATTATCTTGAACAGATCCATAAAGTTCTATAAAACCACTAGTGTGCGCTCTGCCCGTGCTCCCCATTGTTTACATTTGTGACATCGTGGAGAAGATGAGATGGCACCTGAAACGAGCTACTGCTCACAGCCGACAACAGTTTAATTAACAGCAAGCCCAACTGGATCTGTCAGAAATTATTTTTCAACTATTATTTCAACCAGTTCTCCCTCTAGTGTTGCAGATCGGGACAAGCACTGATCTGGTTTTAACTTCGACCTTGAATTGTGGCTTTGACCTTGGAGCAGGGTCATGAAATGTGTACGCGACACTAAGTCTGGCGTTGATGCACGTGTGTCCGAAGCTTTGTTTCAGAGAACTGACGTGTGGAGAGAAGACGGTGCGTTACCTGCAGCTGAGTTTGAACTGTTTGATAATGTTGCTAATCTTCTCAAACCGGTGAGCGTCCCGCTGCTCTTTGCACTGATAGTGCGAGATCACCTGCATTAATTAAAACGTAAATAAATAAAGGATCCAAATCAGGGTGATGTTAGAAACACAGGCGGCTCTCACCAGGAAGGTGGCTCTCTCAAACAGGAGGACTTCGTCAGCCTCTATGATCTGTGCAAAGTTTCTCAGGTTGGTCTCCAGCTGCTGGACGTTGGGGATGAGCTGATACACGATGCTGGACCAGGCCTGAAAGACGTTTGGAGTTATTTAGGTGATTTTTTAAATGGTGTCAGCGTGCATTTTTTTTAAATTCACAACCTTATACAGGGTTTCATCCCAGATTGATGTCCTGAAGCACGTGCACGCCAAAGGTCGGGACAGTCTCTTTAGATCTTCTTCACGTTCCTTAAAAATCTGTTAAAACAACCAAAAAAATTATAATTTCATGAAGCACACAGCAAAAATAATGTAAAAAACGCACACGTTTACAAAGTGTAAACACACAGTTTTATTTTTAAACTGTTGTTCAGTTATGTTGCTTTTTGATTCACTTTTTGGAGCAAAAAGCCTAAAATGACAAAAATCAAATGTTAAACTGAGTTGGTGTCAAACCACTGACTGTGTGTCACTTACTGAAGGTTTTAACCAGAAAACCCTCTTGGTTTTACGAAAAATGTCACACAGTTTCATCATTGTACAAAAAAAAACTAAGCAGTGAAGCTTTGATAAAAAAAAAGAAATGTAATTTTTAAGAAATATATTCCAACGGCTTTTCTTTTTTTTAAATCAAACTTTCATTACAGCAGAAACAGTTTGTAGTGTTTTTAATAAAAAAAACAACAACCCTGTTCTTTTTAAAATGTGCTATACAGTAGTCCCTCATTACTTTGCGGTTCAACTTTGGAAGACTCGCTCTTCGTGGTTTTTCAAAGTAAGATTGATTGTACACAACACGAGTGCCAACTTTAATATTACTCATGTGATTGGGAAGGTACGGGATAAAAAGTTAATGAAAAATAATAATACTTCGGACGGGCGCCGCCATTTTGTAGTTTTCTCTCAATAAGCCTACACTGTGTGGCCACTCAAAAGGACTACACTACCCAGAAGCCAACAGTGTTCCCAGCCGTTGCTTTCTGCTGAAATGGAGGGAAAGTTTTGATCTGATCCGAAAAAATTTGGTCCTTATTTATAGCGACTTCGAAGCTCAGTGGATGCAGACAGCCGTACAGAACTGACTGGGAATTGGACCAGAACCGGACTTCCAGCCACATCGGTCAATCTGAGTGCTGCTTGCTGGCCCATGAAACCTCTTGAGCAGGGAGGAGTTGCTTGGAGGTCCAGTGTCTTCTCTGGAGCTCACCAGAACTTTTTTCATCTGATTTTTCTGGATTATTTGGACCCGATCTGAACCATTATGTGGTTTGGTGCTGGCTATCCAAAGGTCCAGCTCGCTCTAAAAGCGTCTAGTGCACAACAGCTTCAGAGAGCTGATCAGAACCGGAACAAGGTTAGTAGTACCCATATAAAATTTTGCAGTAGCTACAGTGCAGTACATACAAGTATGTTGTTAAAATTACAAAGGTTTTAGAGATTAGAACATTGTGGGCTTCGTCGCTGCAGGGTAGGGCTGCCGAACCGGAACCGAGCCGGACCAGAACCGAGCTGCTGGTCTGGTGAGTAAAATTTTGCAGTACTGTACAGTACATATACATATGTTGTTAAAATGACATAGGTTTAAGAGTTTAGAACATTGCAAAAGTGTGGGAAGGGTTTATAAAGCCAAAAAATATATAAACACTAAAATAAATACAACGTTCTTACTTCGCGGGTTTTCACTTATTGTGTGTGTGTGTGTGTGTGTGTGTGTGTGTGTGTGTGTGTGTGTGTGTGTGTGTGTGTGTGTGTGTGTGTGTGTGGGCGGAGTGGGTCTGGAACGTAACCTCTGCGATAAACGAGGGACTGCTGTATAAATTAAATTGATAAAACCTGCCCATGCTGATTATTATTAACATATCATTTTACAACGTGCAGATTTGACAGCAAGTATTAAAAACACATTTTCAGCTCATATAGTTTTTGGTCATAAAACCATGATCTGATTATCAGGTCTCTCTTGTAAATGAGTCCTCGAGGCTCAATGGGATTTTCCTGTCTAAATAAAGGTTGAATGATGACTCGTATTGTGCAACGATTTTAATGTAATAATAAAAGAAAGTTCTACTTCAAACACGCAGGACTTCTGCTTTCATATAGAATATGAAATCACAAACTCTGGTTTGTGTTTGAGATTAACAAGACGTGAAAATCCAGAAACTCCGTCAGTAAATGCTCACCAGGTCTCTCTGATCCTCCTGGACGAGGTCCATCTTATGCACCAGACAGAACACTTTGGCGTCAGGCGAGTTCTGCAGGATGGCTTCGAGACACGACTGGTAGTAGTGCATGTCCTTCTCCAGCTCGCGGCTCTCCACGTCGAACACGTAGATAAGAACCTCCACGTTTCTGAAGATGTTGTCCCTCTGGCTGGTGAAGTAGTTCTCCATGAACGTGTCTTGTCTGGTGGAAGAACACGGGGCCGTGATTAACTCAGAGAAAATGTTTAATTAGATTATTAGAAGCACCGAAGAGACGAGCTTTACCCTCCACAGTCCCACAGGTTGAGAACCAGATTGCCGAGAAACCGAACGTGGGAGTGTTCGACGTCAACTACAAGAGAAAAGGTTGTAAATAAAGCGAGCACCACTGGTGATGTCATGAGAGTGGACCAGTCTTCTCTGAGCTCCTACTTGTAGCTCCAAGGCGACGCGTGTCCCGGGCGATGTAGTTGGCAAAGATGATTGATCTCATGCTGGTCTTCCCAGACCCACTTTTCCCCATCAGGAGCACCTGAGAGGAGGAAAATAAAGTCAAATGATTCTGTTAGAGCGTGCCCTTCAGTCTTTTTGATGTGTGAATTGATTAAACTCCTTCGAGTAAATTTACAAATCAATTTCTGCCTCAGGCCTCTTCCCCGGCTGTTTTTAAAGCTCTTCTCAAAACCTCTTTTCTTTGGCGTTTAACACTTTATAAAGGGTTGCTTTGATTTATTTTTACCTGATTTTTAATTTTTGTGGATCTCATTGTTTATTTTGATGTTACTGTTTCAGTGTTTCTCCATATTTTCCCCATGTTTCCACCATTATACAAGCAGGGCGCCTCGCCCTGTCAACAGAACCGAGCGCCCTGCCAAGCAACAAGCAACCAGCTACAAGCAACCAGCTACAAGCAACCAGCTACAAG